GTTCTGGTAAGTAAATCTTCCGCCAAAAATAATGCAGTTTATGCGGGAAGAAGTTATCTACGAGCAAAAAAAAGGTCATTCTAGATAGCATGCTGTTGAGAGGCATCAGAACGGCAAAAAAAAAAATACTATATACGACGTGGATACCAGCTTTTATCATGGTAGGCAGAGAATAGCGGCTTTTCCGTGTAGAACGCATTGTGTTCTCGTATCATTTCTTGGTAAAGGCGATGCCTTGCCCTCCAAGTCCTTTCCTCAGGTATAGACTTGCAGACTTTCTTGTATACTGCATTTTTTGAGCACATGTCTGTCTGTTATAAGTGTATAGAGTGAGGATGTGGTCCAGAACTTAATGCATAATGCACACCTATATAATAGACGGAGGGTGTGGTTCCTGGACAGAGGGGCAAAGAGGGGTTTGGTGAGATTGCAACAGAACCCAAGACAAAGGACACAGGTCTGCTGCCATAGTAACAGTTGCTAATTACTGATGCTTCCAAACACAGACTTCATGCCCGACTACAATCCTAGTGTTGCATCTGTGTATGACACTTAGAATAAAAAACTGGGCTGCGCGGCACAATGTGTATGCCAACACACTATATTTTTGCTGTCGTAAAATAATGTTTTACATTTTTCCATTAGATTTTTCCCGATTCTTCACTGTCTTCACGGTATATAAGTACGAACAAGATTACCACATACTGTGGAATGAACATGAAGAGTTTGCCCGCAGTATTGCAGTGTCATTTAGAATCAAACAGCCTGGCGCAAACTATGCAACATGTAATAATACTGCATTCACCTTAAAATATTTATTGTCCAGCCCCTTCACCCCACAAATCTTGCTTTCGTTTCAAAATGTAAACATGAGCAAATTTGAAAGTATCAGAAGAAAGGGGCAAAAACTGAATGCCTCACATAACACCACAGAGAATCTGGAATTCAACCTTTCGCTGGGTCCCACGCTGCAAGGTCTTACCCCGTGCACTGACTTGTAGCTGCTATGTTTTGCTAAAATTTAAGGCCGTGCCAACTTGTGTTTCTTACAGCGTCTTCAACAGGAGCTAAGTAATACCTGCAATACCTGCATTGCGGAATCGTCATTCACCTCTTATCAATCTCTTAGATTTGGCCATACATAACAAAACATGGTCTGTCAGTGAATTGAGTTGAGCAGTATGTTCTCCTAATAGCCTATTTTTCTCAGGTCCACGGAGGTACGTGCACAAACTCCCTCCTGTCGGCCGTTTGTCCTTCAACTGTTCATACTTTTGCTGTATAAATGAACTTAATGAAGACTTGCATACTAAGTGGGAATCAGTCCCCTTTGGATTGTATAAAAAGATTCGCTATTGGGACAGTTTCACAAACGGTCAACTGTGCGCGTGAATGGGTTGCACGCACGCCGATATAGCGTCCCTTGCGTGGTACGGAATGTGAACACGCGACTGATGTCATTGATGCTGCCTGCGAGGAAAATCGCTGCTGTTTTTCACAAGAAAATAATCTTGCCCCTTCTTATGAAACGTGTGACACGCCCCAAAGGGGAACAAAACAAAACAAATACGTGCATGTGATATGCACAGGTTTTATACACACAGTTCATTGTACTGGATAGCAATGGAAGTAAGAACACCCAAATTGCCCATTGTAGCTTGATTGTGAATCTGTCTGCGGTTGTATCAGTATGGTCCCGCCTTCTAAAGGGGCAAATTTCAGGGTTTTTTTAAAATATTTTTTTTTATATATAGCACTAAGGCAAGCTGTCCAAACGTGCGCAAAGGTAAATTACCCAAACAGTTTTTTGCCCGTGAAGCCCCTACTACTACTTTTAAGTCCTGGCGCATCCATAAAAGGCTAAGAACAATGACATCAAGTGGTTTTGAACTCCTTGGGAGTATACATTAATGATCTGGAGAGTTTCAAAGATGGCACCCTTAAATGCATATAGGCCACCGCTTTCCCTAAAACAATTTATTGTAAAAATGACATTCTGAAATTTTTTAAAACCAATTTCAGTTACAGAGGAAACTGAAGTGGTTTTATTTTCCTGTGAGAACATGCAAAAGCCCAGATTTGGACGGAACGGAGGAATTCTCAATATCATGGTGGGATGGGAAAGTGAAAACAGACATTTTGGGTTGGTTCAGACAATGTGTAATGTTTTTGTCTCAGGTACTTTGGAGACCTGAGTTATGTCTCTTCGAGCGGTTAATTGAGTTCAAGGAACTCACAGCAGCGCAAAACAGAGAAAATTGAACAACCTTGATTGGCTCAAGCAATTTTTTCTGTTATTTTGTTCTGTAGTTGCTGACTCGGAAGGTGCTGTTCGTCTAGCTCAAGGCCCGAATGGCCCCCACGAAGGCCGCGTTGAAATTTATCACGACAGCCAGTGGGGCACGGTCTGCGATGATACCTGGTACACGGACTACAATGCTCAGGTGGTGTGTCGGCAGCTGGGATACGCCGGGGTCGAAGAGGTCAAGCGGCTGGCATTCTTCCAGGAGGGAGAGGGTCCAATCTGGATGGACGATGTCTACTGTGAAGGCGACGAGGCTGGTCTTGCTGACTGCCCGTTTGCTGGGTGGGGAGTGAATGACTGTGGACACTATGAGGACGTAGGGGTTGTCTGTTTGACAGGTACAGTATACTAAATACAGACTAGGTCATATGCTCAAGCACATGTGTTGGCATTCTATAGACGAGGGTTGGTTTACCTTTTTCACAATACGGTACGCCTGAACATTCTACGTCTCGTAGCTTAATGCATTTATGTCACATTCCATGAAAACGTAACAAATCAAATTTTACACATTTAGATTAACTCGATCTGTTTGCATTTTGGACAGCTTCATTGTATTCTGCCATGAAGAATGAAGAGTCAGTAATAAGAATGAATAAATTTGATGAAGCCCTTCGGATTTTTAGTTTTGATTAGTTTTGAATGTTGCCCTGCCATT